CACAGTCTGTGCATTCTGCCTGATTTCCGGAGGCATCGAAGTGAACCCTGGATGGTCCTGATGTTCTGTGTGACTTTCGGGAATTCAGCTCCGCTTCAAGATACAAATACGGCTTGTCCATTGCTGCCCATCGATTGTTCCTCTGCATCACTTCCCATCTATCACGATCTACTACCACACACTCTCAACAGAACTCTCTCGCTAGAGAACCACAGAAACAAGCCACCACCATGGGCGTGACCAAGCCCAACCCCAACCCCGAGACCCAGACTCAGCCGCAGCGGCCCTCCTTCAACCGGCTCCTCTCGCTCGACTCCCCACCCCCATCCCTGCCGGACTTCCAGCGCCTCTGCGCCCAAACCACCGACGGCGCCCTCTACCCGCACGCGACGACCATCACCAAAAACATCCCCATCTACAGCACGCGCACCCTCAGCCTGACTGATCCCGACGACCTCACCACCGTCCAGAACGAATGGTACCACATCCTCTCCGAAGGCCCGGGGATCTTCGTCCTCCAACACTTCTACGACGTGGAAGACGACGACGACGACGACCACCCGACCCTAACCGCCACCACCGCCGCCTTCAACCGCATCATCGCCCACGAAGCCGCCGCCGCCACCACCACCTCGGCCAAAAAAGGCGACCACTTCTCCGCCGGCCACAACGCCCGCATCTGGAACAGCTTCAGCAAGCACGCCTTCGCCGACCCCTCCTCCTTCGTCGCCTACTACTCCAACCCGTGGCTCCGCGCCGTCAGCGAGACCTGGCTTGGCCCGGGCTACCGCCTCACCGCACAGGTCAACATCGTCCGGCCCGGCGGCCAGGCCCAGTCCCCGCACCGCGACTACCACCTCGGCTTCCAGGACGACGGCAACTGCGCCCGGTTTCCGCGGGGCATGCACGCCGCCAGCGCGTTCCTGACGCTGCAGGGCGCCGTCGCCCACTCCGATATGCCAGAGCGCAGCGGGCCGACGCGGTTCCTGCCGTTCAGCCAGCGCTTCGAGGCCGGGTTTCTGGCCTGGAGGCGCCCCGAGTTCCGCGAGTTCTTTGAGCGCGAGTATGTGGCGCTCCCGCTGATGGAGGGGGATGCCGTGTTCTTCAATCCGGCGGTGATGCATGCGGCCGGCGAGAATCGTTTGGGACCGGAGAGTGGGTTTGAGAGGAGGGCGAATCTTTTGCAGATTGGCTCGGCGTTGGGGAAGACGATGGAGCGCGTGGATGTTGTGCCGGTGGTGGAGGCGGTGTGGGGGGAGGTTCGGAGGCGGTTTGATGGTCATGGTCATGGTGAGGCTGACGCCGGGAAGGAGGAGGAGGAGCTGGATGCGAATTGGGAGGCGTTTGTCCGGGCGCTCGGCGAGGGGTATCCGTTCCCCACGAACCTGGATCGTAGGCCGCCGGCGCCGAATGGCATGGCGCCGGAGAGTGAGCAGGACTTGATTCGGAGGGGTTTGTTGGAGGGCTGGGGGACGGAGGAGATGGTCGCTCGGTTGCGCCAGTTGCATGAGGACGAGAGGGGCCATCAGTCTCTCTGACTGTACTACCGTACAAGCTCTGTCATAGGGAAAGTGACCATGATCCAGTAGCGAATTATCTACACAGGGACAGGTCCATAAGTAAATATTACTCTTGTTGGTCTAGCTCATTAGAGACTATCATCACTTCGTGAATATTCCCACCATGTTACTCCGCCCACAAGGGTATACCAGAACGCTACGCCAATGCCAACCAATGCAGTCAGTCGTTAAAGTCATATCACCCCTCGTTCCTCGACCCAGATCTATCCTCGCGTTAGTCCCAGTGCTGCACGACCCCACAGAAAGAAAACGACTTACCTCCATCTTCCCGAGTTCACTCCCCTCCCGTCGTGCCATCTCACGGGCCGAGCTCATCAGCAGATCCAAATCCTCCTGGTCCACCATCGTAATCATATCACCATCGTCTTGCATGCGGATCTTGAGCAACGTTCGGAACCCGAATTTGTCCCGGATCCGCCGTTCAAACTCGGCGAAGTCGATCACAGGCTCAATCATGATATATCGCGTATCCTCGTGGGCATGCGTCTTGACCCGGTACTTGCGCACCTCGGGCCGTCGGGCTCGCGAGGTCCCGCGCTGGGATTGTCGCTGCGGCGATCGTCCGTGTCCGTCGACCAGGTCGAGGTCGCCCTCCGCCGAGCCCGACCCACTGACATACTCTTCTTCCTCGTCGATGTATCGTTCCCGTTGCCGAGGCCAGCCGGTCCCCACGGGCATGGACCGCGTGCCCGAGTATCCGCCCTCCGGATACCCACCTGATGTCGATGCAGACCCCGTGTCACTGACCCCTCGTCGATGGCCACGCATCTCCCGACCGCGGGACGACTGTTCCTCCCGAGGGCCGGCGCGAGCCGAAGCAGCTGCCGCCGCTCTCCGGGGCTCGGAGGCCGTGCGAGTCGTTCCGATGCGCGGCTTCTCGCCTAGGACGGTCTCGTGTCCGGTGCTCTGGTTCAGGTCGAGTCGCGGGGGCGGCGCAGCGCGAATGGACCCCGGTCGGCCGGTGGTCCCGAGACTTCCTGTGGAGCTGTTGGTACTCGCCTTGTCTGCGTCCGGCGGGGGAGTAGGAGGGAAGAGATTACGGTTCAGGGGCGGTTCAGAGTGCTGACGGCTCCGGCTGGGCAGGTTCTTGTGCACCAAGTGCGAGGTGGCGAACGGAAGGTGCTCGGGATGCCGGTGGTCGAGCACCGACTGAGCGCGGGGGATTTCCAGATTCAGCGGGCCGGACGGAACGCCGTTACGCTCCCCTGTCGCGGCAATCAGCCGGGCCTTACCCAGGTAGTCTTTCGACTTCAGATTCTTGACCTTAGCCTCGTTGGGCCGGTAGACCACCCCTACCGGAATGGAGAAGACTGTATAGCCCTGTTTGCCATTAGGATTGAAATCTCCTGCCGCTCCTATATGAAACGTACCTGTGCTCGTTCCTTGATTGCATCATTGATGACATCGTGGTCCGGCGTCACCTTCTCTTTGGACGCATAGTCGAGATCCTGGAGGCCGGGGCCCATCTGCTGCAGGTAGATATAGCACAGACCGCGGTTGAACAGCACTTCGCACGAGTACAAGCGGAACTTAAGACCCAGCTGCTCGTAGTCAATGGAGGTGTTACCTCGAAGGTACAACAGGGTGTCATTAAAATTGGCCAATGCCTCCTCAAAGTCACCCAGCAGGAAGTTGGACACTCCTTCTTGGAAGTATGCGATGGCCAGGTATTGATCTAGCCCAATTGCTCGTTGGTAGCACTCGACCTAGATCGCCGTCAGTATGAGGGAATGCCGTGAACGAAGAGTAGGTCTTACTGCTCTGTCGTGCTCTCCCAAGGTGGCATATATGACTCCACAGTTGAAAAGGATCTTGGATGTTTCGGCGATGGCGCTGAAGACCTGAAGGGCTTCATCGTATTCTTGGTTGTCGTAGTGGTCCAGGGCTTGCACCCAGGTCTCAATCTCCTGAGTAATGTGAGCCCTGCTCAGCCTGCCCTTACGGTGGGGGAAGGAAGCAACCCTACCTGCTTGATGGACATGTCTGACTTGAGCCCGTAGCACCAACGATAGGCGATATCAGGTGCTGCAGTCGCCCTGGTACTGACCTAAAACACGACGCAGACGGGGCTGACCGGTCGAGAACCCCACGTCGTAGTATATATGTCCCCGACTTGTGATTGATCGGACCAGCACGCTGACGACAGAGTCCTCGACCACGCCGAGAACAGGGATGGAATCGCACGGTGGACCCGGGATGGAGGAGACTGAGCGCAGACGGCGAGCGAGTAATAGACCATGCGCAATGGGCCTCTTAGCGGGAGAGATAGATAACTCAAGAGATAGATAGATCGGATATATAATTAGATCACGGATGCCGCGACCCAGCCGCTAGCGACGACCGTCTAGAGACCAGCCAAGACGAAGGCAAGGAAGACCAGACTGGCTGGGACGGGATACGTAGGGGATGAGAAGGTTGGGAGAGTAAAGTTTGTTTCGAAGGTGATTTAATTTGATTTGCTTTGGATTCCCGCGTGGTTAGAGCTTGGACAGGCCGACAAACACGTTGAGTACTGGGTGGTGAGTACACCACTTTGGGTTGGGAGATGATGATGTTGATGATGATGGTGATAATGATGGCCGACGAAGAACGGACAAAAACAGAAATGGAAGTAGTTAGCAGGTACGGAGTACCGATGCAGAAAGGAGAAAATAGACCGAAGGAAAGAAGATCAAGGCAAGACTGGGATTAGCGCGCAGAGAGAATAGTTAATGAAGGAGAGGAAGGGGAAACGATGCAATGCAGCAAGCAAGCAGCCTGTCAGCCAGGAACTACTCAGGATGGTGGGTGCAGTGCAGTGCAGTTTTGGGATGGAAGGGGAGAAGGAAAAGATGGACAGGGAAGAAAGAAAGAGGGGAAAAAGAATAAAAATAGTTGGGTAAAGAATTAAAAAAAGGTCTGATCCTGGTCACATCCCAGCAGCATCTTTTTCTTCCAGCCAGCGAGCCAGCAGAGCCAGCAGAGCCAGCAGAGCCAGGGATTGGATGCTGCAGGGGGTGACGCTTTTCATCACATCGCAGAAGAGTCGATCCATCCGAGCCCGGTTGATTGGATTCGTGCCTTCATATCAGGAGATTTCCAAGGAGATTACGGAGTACTTACTATATAGTTACTTACTTCCAGTTAACTGCCCCGTTCCCGGTGGGAAAAGCCATGCGGGGCTGCAGAATTGTCACAAATACAATGAATGGGTTTACCCCATACCATTATTATTACCACCACACCACCACACCATCACACAGACACTCAAACAGTCAGCTCAGACAGACAGAGAGACAGACAAACATTGAATTCTTCTTCTTCTTCTTCCTGTGAAGCTCTTGACCTTGACTCTCACAACAGAACCCAACCTGGAGATGATGGAGGATTATACTTTCAGTGCATTGGGAAATTTCCCCGCCACGGCGCTTGCGCCTGAGCGAATTGACCATTCCATTCCTGCCTCCAACTTGTTAGATCGACCCACTCTGTGGAATACGGGCCTCGTTGCGCACCCTATCGCCCTATCGCCCTCTCTGGCTCTCTCACTCCCTGTCGGACCGTTGTACTATGAACACTAGGAGTAGCTCTCGATCTATCTTTAGTGTTCTTAGTGTCCTTGCCATGCCCTGCCCACGACTAGTCGGTGTGTCGTGCAGTTGCTCCTGCATGGCTGCCAGTCACCTGAGTCTGGGGTTGTCGGTGTCTTCTTCTTTTGCTGCTGCTTCTGCTTCTTGCCTCCCAGCAGTACGGAGTACTCGAGTCATCATTATTCATTCATGTGGCTCGTAAATTATCAAGCTATCTCTGATAGGAGTAGTAGTAACACTTGTCGATCGAATTGCCCATGCACAAGCAATTTCACGGTGACCCCACCCCCCTCCTTCTCTGTGCTATACATAGAACGGCTTTATGCCCTCTGATGTAGTCAAATCACACCAGATTTCCTGCCAAACCCGCCATTATCAGATCCCTCTATACCATTCCCTGGGAGACCTGCTCCTGCCGCTCCTGCCAAACGTTCTTACCGGAGCAGGAACAGACCATCTTGTCGTTATCCCACACCCCCGCGCTACGAGCGATGACCCCAACCAATGTGTTCGAGTCTTCCCGATCAAAGGGGCCCTCAGCATTCTTTGACACCACCATACTGCGGCCAATCATCTCCCAGATCGCGACCGGTCGATCCAAAAAGACATTGCCTCGTCCCTTTTCGTCAACCTCCACTGACCCAAAGACCCCACGTGGTTCCTTGGTGGGCTCTGTCGAGCCCAATACCTTGGCCTTGACGGCCTCCCAGATGCCTCCCGTCGACGCCGCACCTTGCGAGATATCGCCCGCCTCGCGCACGGTCGCCACGTACTTGCCCGGGGCGAGGCCATTGATCGTCAGATCCACCAGGGTCATATTGGACGACACCTGAACCATGCGTGCCAGACCGCGGATCTTGTTCGAGACGGCAGTGGAATGTGTTTCGAGGATGCACACCGCGGAACCTGCAGGCAAAAACAAAGAAGATCACACCACCGAAGTTAGCATAATCCCACCCAACCCGACTGGGCACATCACATAAAAAAGGAGGGAGGGGACAGAGCACGTACTGTTGGAGGTGCCACTCCCTCGCAAGATCGCATCACGACCCGTAGCTTGGATGGCAGTGACAATGGAGCTGGGCGGCGCGGTGCCCTCAATGAAGACCAGTTGATCCTTCAGGCTGGCCTCAACCTTGCTGATCCCTAACACAGGTTCTGGTTAAAGCTGCGTGGGTAACGGGGAGGGAGAACTGGCTGTCATACCGTCCAACTTCTTGAGCGACGCGGAGACATCTTTGACGCAACCCTCGCAGGTCATCGGGACCGCGAAGGTGGTCTGGATTGATTAGAACCGCGTGACGCATGGCGTAGAAAGCAGCAGTACCCACCTGGAAAGGTTCAATAGTCATCTCGTCTAGTAGCGCCCTTAGATCTCCAGTCAGTAGTAATGCAGCAGCAAACAAAATCACAAAATCATCAGGTACTGTACGGCGTAGGAACCCCCTCCCTCCGTCCTCTTCTTGAATGCGGGCCGAGGCGGGGAGCGGCTTTGAAATCAACCTCCCGATCAGGTTTAGCTCCTTCCCAGACCCGCTCCGTCAACCCATAGCGTCATCCGGCCAATCATCCGGGTGCCCTGTCGTTCATCTTCTTGCGATAGTAGCTCCGACAGCTTCACCTCTATCCTTCAAACCACCAGACAACAACAACAACAACAACAACGACAACGACAACGACAACGACAACGACAACGACAACGACAACGTCACAATTGCCCATGTCGTTCAACCAATAGCCTGCACATCTAGACCATGTCCTCGAAATCGCGCTGGGCCAACGACGATGACCCAGAGACGGAGGCCATCCTCGCCCAACGCAAACGCGAAAAGGAAGAGAAACGACGCGCCAAAGCCGAGAAACAACGTCAGCTAGAAGAACAGCAGCAACAACAACAGGCCAAACTTCAGGCTCAATCGCAAGATGCCAATTTCACGCAGACCGACGCGCCTCCACCCTCCAAGCGTCGCCGCCTCTCCAACGACCACGACCCAGCCCGACAATCCCCGCAACCATCCAAACCCAACACCTCCGACCCTCAGACCACCGCCGAAGGGAACAACCTCCTCACACTCCCAACCTCCGAATGGGGCCCCTGTCGCCATGTCGACAACTTCGAGCGCCTCAACCACATCGAAGAAGGCAGTTACGGCTTCGTCAGCCGCGCGAAGGACATCACGACCGGCGAGATCGTGGCGCTCAAGAAACTCAAGCTGGAGCCCACCTCCCCGGAGGGATTCCCGGTGACGGGGCTCCGAGAGATCCAGACCTTATTCGAAGCCCGACATCAGAACATCATCGAACTACGGGAAGTAGTGATGGGGACCAAGATGGATGAGTACGTTTTCACTTTTTGTGTCAAAAACGCACACTACGCCGCACGCCATGAAGACACCCCTCAAAATCATTCCCCAAACCACTCCATATACTAACACGATTCCCCCCAAACCAGAGTCTACCTAGTCATGCCCTTCGTCGAACACGACCTCAAGACCCTCCTCGACGACATGCGCGAGCCCTTCCTCCCGTCCGAGACCAAAACCCTGCTCCTCCAGATCATCTCGGGGCTCGACTTCCTCCACGCGCAGTGGATCATGCACCGCGACCTCAAGACCTCGAACCTGCTCATGAACAACCGCGGCGAGATCAAGATCGCCGACTTCGGCATGGCGCGCTCCTACGGCGACCCCCCGCCGCCCAAGCTGACCCAGCTGGTCGTCACCCTCTGGTACCGCGCCCCGGAGCTGCTGCTGGGCGCCGATCGGTACGGCCCGGAGATCGACCTGTGGAGCATCGGGTGTATCTTCGGGGAGCTGCTGGGCAAGGAGCCCCTGCTGCAGGGCAAGAATGAGGTCGATCAGGTGTCCAAGGTATGAATCATTGCTTGCCCACCTTCATTCATTCTACCAAAAAAAAAATGAAAAGAAAAAGCAAGAAGTTGACGACGGTCCAAATAGATCTTCGCCTTAACCGGGCCCCCAACCACCCAAATGTGGCCTGAATTCCGATCCCTCCCTAATGCCAAATCCCTTCGACTCCCTTCGTCGTCCTCATCCTCAGCAGCCCCGGGCGGTAGTGGTGCCGCTAATCCGCCGCTCTTACCGCGCGGCAAGTTCCCCTACCTGACCAACGAAGGCCTACGGCTGCTGTCGTCGCTCCTGGCGCTGAACCCCAATGCCCGCCCGTCGGCCAAGCAGTGTCTGGCCCATCCGTACTTCCGGGAAGACCCCCGGCCCAAACCCAAAGAGATGTTCCCTACATTCCCGTCCAAGGCGGGCCAGGAGAAACGGAGACGACGGGAGACCCCCGAGGCGCCGAAGCGCGGCCAAGAAGCCCCAAAGTTGGATTTCGCGAGCGTGTTTGGGGGTGCGCAGGCGGGTGGTGATGGTCCGGAGGCCGGGGCTGGGTTTACCTTGCGCCTGGGGTAGTGCTCCCTTGGCTGTGAAGCATATACTTTTACGATTGGACTATATATAGAGCTACGCATCGTGGGTGTGACAGACTTGGTAGTCCGTTTACGACTTTCAACACCATCATCTGGAAGGCTTCCAGGTCGCGACCTGGAGACATAATCGTTGGTTCTAAGGCATAAGAGCTGTGGAACAAGTTTAAGGGAGTGAAGAGGAAGGCTGTTTTGAGAAACCCGCTCCCTGGTTCATGAGCCTCAACCTTTGGAGAGTCAATTGAGCGGTGTATATAAAAATATGGTAGAGTCGCCTGGTCCACCAATAATGAAGTGGCAATGCGAATTAAGAATTAAGATCTTCTGGATGAGAAATAGTACCTCGCAGAATAGCTGGAGACATAATCGTCAGTGGAGTCACTGGCTTCGCGCTCGGCGCGGGCAGATCGCGGACTCTGTAAATGTATGGCTGATCTCGGGCCCACGATCTCGGGGATCCCTTGAGCCCTGGTCGACGAATGGCGATCAAGCCCAGGCCCACTATATAAGCAGCCATCGCCAGTAAAGCTCCTCTCGGACTTGAGTGCATTATTATCACGGTCGGGGCGGATATCGGGTGACTTGTCGACAAGGAAGTACTCGTCTCTGAGGGCGAGAAGTGACGCCAAATCGTCGGTATCAATGGTGGACCATGGCTCCTCTAACACCTGCTCCATTTCTGACATGAACCGTTGCTCTTCATTCTGGGTAAACCCCCCCATGATCTCTTCCATCGGCGGACCGACTTCTGTTTGCGTTTGCTCATCCATACCAGTAATGGAAGCAGGAGCGGCCTCGTGACCTACATGTGCCGGCCTGTCAGAATCCGCTGAGCGGTTACATGCCACATCTATCTGCGGCTTCGCATTCATCGTGTCCTCAAGGAACTCCGAAATTGGTGTGTTGACTTCAGGCTCGCAAGGCTCAGTGGCCCTTGTTGGTGTCTCCTCAGATTGGTTGAATCCATGGAACGGCGATTCGCTCTGCTGATCCACCTCGGGAGCATGGCTGTCTCTAATCCCCAATCGGTCGCACAATTTCAAGGACTCCATGGCGAAGTCGGCGTCTATTATCTGGGGCGTTTCAGACACACGATTAGTCTTGCACACGCGAGTCATGGCTGGCTTGTAACTGTAAATCGCATTGATCGACATCCGCAGTGCGTTCGATTTGCGCGAGTTGGTGGGGGCTGAGCTTGAGGCAGTGTGAACATTGGGACTCAGGCGCGTAAAAGACTGCAACTGTGTATCCAGATCAATGGGATCATTCGATGAAGGTCCCGGTGTAGTAAGATAGTGACTGCTGCGTTCCAATTCGCTGTCCCTCGGGCTGGGTTCGTCTGAATCGTTGGGCCTGACTGACACGGTAGTGGTGGTGGTGGTGCGAGGCTCTTGGCCCGTCGCAGCCTCATCGGGCTCATTCAAAGCTTCTGGTACCTCATGGTTACCCTGGAACGCTGTGATTTGCAACCTCGCGGTCTGTCCATGTTGTGATTCCGTCGAATTGACCTCGGATCTAGGGACAGCGAGAACTGCCTCGGAGCGACAGTGACGCACAGTCGAACCATTTAGAAAAGTACTATCTGCTTCACATTCGACATGAATTGGTAGTTTCTGCAAATATTTGCCGATGTCGCCATTTGGTTCCGAAGGATATTTGCAGCTGATGCGTTGGAGGTCGGCTCCGAAATCAACATCTTCAGCAGTGCTAGCCTCGGACACCGTGGAGGAGTAGAGCGTTCCCTGCTGATCCAGCGAGTCTTTTGCCGAGTCCGCCGAGGACCAGGCGCTGGCGTTGTCGGTGCGAACAGGTGGAGGTCCACTGGATCGCCGATGTATCCCCGACCTCAGCGCAAGTAGTCCTAGATGGGCTCTTCGAAGAGATCTTCTGGGCAGATCCTGTATCCAACGACTTGTTCTTGGCGAAGCTGTCTGCTGGGAGAGATCGCAATCATCCTCCAGCCATGGCGAGGCGATAACATCAGGGTTGTGTCGCGGATCCCGCGGATTGAAGACTGGGTAGTGAATACTTTCCTCACATGCTGGCGAGGGGGCGGTAAGCCGTCGTATGGCAGCCCTAAGCAATTAGCACGCCTCCTGATATTGACGACGCAGAGGCATACCTGTTCCTGCGGCTGACGGGGTAGCAGAGGGTAAAAGAGTACGATGACGCCGGGCGACGTCTGTTGTTTCCAAATGCCGAGTCTGGTGCGTCCATTGTTCCCTCAATCGATGTTCTTCCAAGAAGAAACCTCCAAGAGAAGTTGGAATAGAGCCAGCCGTGTCTTACTAAACAGTGCCAGAAAGTCCGACGCTTGTTGTCGATTGCAAAGACGAGGTCCGGGGTTTTCCTGGATGGGATCTACTCAAAGGGCGACGCAGATTGAGGCGACGACCAGACAGGCCGAAGGAAGCCATAACAAACCCGCCACGCTGTCCGACAGGCGCATTTGCAATGTCGGACAGAGGCAGGTGTTGGGGTGGGAAGTGCCTTCCTTCCTGGCCATGACAAATGAATTGAATGTTGCACAGACGAAAGCCGAACAGAACAGCCTGTGTTGCAGCTACCCGATCATCTCGAAGAGTTGGGTTCCTTACTTGGACTCGAATCGGTCGCAAGGATGAGACTGTGATAAGACATCCTGAGCTCGAAGCTCTTGACAAAAATCCCATAAGAGTCCATCGGGGGTAGGGGGAAAGTGTCAAGTACTCGAAGTGTATGTAACTAGAAATAGAAATAGAAATAGAAATGCCGGGAAGCGGAACCCGCGCCGGAGCTCCAACTTCCAATCCGAGGATTCAATGCTTTCCTCCGCGCTTTGATTCAGCTCGACCGACCTGCGACTCTCCCTCAGCATTTTTATCGACTCCCTCCGTCAACTTGTTCTCTCTACTAGGGCCTGCATACCCGGTATATTTTTATCCACTTGTCTCGAGTCAAATTAATCGTGCATTTTCCTGGTTGATCGGACCTTCAATCGGTCTACTACCTTCCATCATGGCTGCCGGAAAGGCTGCCGCCGACTTCAATGCGATCATCCAAGCTGGTAAGCTTTTTCATCGTTCAGTGCAATCAATTCACCAGCCTAGACACTTGAGCTGAAGTCTGCCTCAAGATCGCAAAAGAAAGCAGAACGAAAACCTTGCAAACCAGCTACTCGGTAAGAACCGAGTAACAAATGGGGGCGCCGCAAAGGGCGCAAAGAAGGCACAGGATGCGAAGCCAGGCAGCCTCGCCAGTCGCATCGGTGTAGCCAAGGTAAATATCAACCGAACGGCATCGCGCCGGCTTCTTTGGTTGAATCAAGATACTCATCATTCATCGATCCATCCCAGCGCCCGACGTCTTCGCCCGCGAATCCTAGAACAAACCCCAAGCCTGTCATTCATCAGGCCCGCCCCAAGGCGCGTCAGACCGATCGACCTGGCGCAAAGCAGCGCCGTCCCGACGAGCAACGCCTGCTCTCTGCACTCCTTCCAGACAGCGGACAAGCAACCGTACGAGGCAGTAAGGTGGGGATGACCATCAAGGGCGCTGGCTCAGGACCTTCCGTGGTAGTCGGCAGCAACTTTGCACCGGGCACCACCGCAGCCGACATTCAAGCGGCTCTTGAGCCCGTGGCCGGCCCAGTCCTCAGCTGCTGGGTGATAACGCAGCACCCCGCAGTGTCGGCAGAGATCACCTTTGCCGAGAGACAGGGCGCGGACAGCGCGATTGCCAACTTTCACAACCAGAGGGTCAGTCATACTCGCATTTCTTCTCAGCCTGACACTAATAAATGGCTAGGCTGATGGCCGGATCATCTCGATGCGCCTGAAACCCCTTAGCCTGGGAGCCGATAACGGTGCCACCAACTATCAGAACCCACAGAGCCCCTTCAACAACCTCCGGGAGCAAGCGGATCGAGACCGCCGCTCGCACCGCTCCGGTGACACGACGATTCAAGACGGAAACTACGGGTTCACCGAGCAGAACCAAGCAGTCGAACCACACAGACCGTGGGGCAACAACCGCAGATGGAATAACAGGGGCTATCGTAACGGGCCCCGGAACGGCGGAGCCTCGAACCAGGACACGCAAGAGACAGGTCTCTACAGTGACCAGATGATGGTGGACGCGCCACAGCAGAACCAACAACCCCACGGCAGGCGCTATCACCGCTGAGCCGTCACTGGCGGTAGCGATATTTATCTACGTCACCGATATGCCGGGGAAAATGTATACATCGGGGAAATTGAGCAGAATCTACGCGTAGAACAGAAACATGTAAACTAAATCTCAGTTAATCCAAATCAAGCTTATGCCCATTTCCGGAAAGCGTTGATAATCGCCCGATAAGGCCAGGACACAATCACGTGCAGCGGAAGTTTTGCGGAGAAGTTGGAGAAAGCGTCATGTCTGTCTTAACAGCATTGCTTTAATGATTGCTCATCTCCCAAATCAACGCTAATGGAAACCTGCCTGGGGTCCTACGATCGAGACAATTGACCCCTCCTCCCGCAACGGAGCTCACTCCTCGCACCTACCCATAGTGTAGGACGGTGCGCGCAAGATGCAGCAAGCAACCGGGCGTGCTCTGAAGCATCTCCGAGCGCTCAGAAAACGCGCAACGCAGACGCAGACTCTCGTCCTGTCCGCACGAAGATGTCAATCCTCATTCGACAACAACCGCCAATGGTCGACCCCTCTTGCCCAGACCCTGGCTAACGCCATGAAGGTAGATAGCATTTTCTGTTCCATGACGAAGCTCATCTTCCCTCCCCCCAGCGCCCCCCAATATGCTCGTGCCCAATTCGCACCCTGAAACACGCACTGTCGATAGGACTAACGCACCCGTTCCAAAACCTATAGGTCACGGGCCCCATCCCCATCGCGGCGTTCATGCGCCAAGTCCTTACCTCCCCGGAAGGAGGATACTACACTACCCGGCCCGCGGGTGAGGGCGAGGTCTTCGGAAAGAAAGGCGACTTCGTGACCTCGCCGGAGATCTCGCAGGTGTTCGGCGAGCTGGTCGGGATCTGGACGATTACCGAGTGGATCGCGCAGGGACGGACAAGAAGTGGGGTGCAGCTCATGGAGGTTGGGCCGGGGAAGGGGACGTTGATGGATGATATGCTGAGGGTGAGTTCTTCCCCCACCACCACATCTGGTTGCGGGGTGTGTGTGTGTGGAGTGATAGAGGGACTAGATCGCTAACGATAGGTGACTGTTTGCGTCCCATACAGACATTCCGCAACTTCAGAAGCTTTGCGTCGAGCATCGAGGCGATATATCTGGTCGAGGCGAGTTCGACGTTGAGAGAGGTTCAGAAGCGGCTGCTCTGCGGCGAGGATGCGGCGATGGAGGAAACGGATATTGGCCACCGGAGTGTGTGCAAGTATTTTGACGTGCCGGTTATCTGGGTGGAGGATATTCGGTTGCTGCCGCATGGTGAGGATGCATTAGTCCCCTCCCTCCCTATTGTTTAGGTACGTGTGCCGTACTGATTCGATATCCCATCTTCGGGTTGTTTGTGTGTGCAGAGGAGAGTAAAACGCCCTTCATATTCGCACACGAGTTCTTCGACGCGTTACCCATCCATGCCTTTGAGTCCGTGCCCCCGGCACTGGAGAACGAGCCGAAGGACGAGGTCATGACGCCCACGGGACCCGCGAAGCTCCGGAAACCATTGAAGGCCGCGAATGTGCCGCAATGGCGAGAGCTGTTGGTGACGCTCAACCCCAAGGCTGTGGAGGAGAACATCGAGGGAGAACCGGAGTTCAAACTGACGCTGGCCAAGGCGTCCACGCCATCGTCCTTGGTCATCCCTGAAATTTCGGAACGGTATCGCGCTCTGAAGTCTCAGCCGGGCTCCACGATTGAGGTCAGTCCGGAGAGTCGGATCTATGCGTCTGACTTCGCAAGGCGGATCGGCGGGGCGTCAGAACCGCCTCGTACGGCCACGAAGAAGGGTGCTACTACTGCTACTGGTGGGGAAACGCCGGCTGCGGCGAAGCGTGTGCCTTCCGGTGCAGCGCTGATCATGGACTATGGGACTCTTGCTACGGTGCCCATCAACTCGCTTCGTGGAATCCAGCACCATCAAACTGTGCCGGCACTTTCGGCGCCGGGACAGGTGGATGTTAGTGCCGACGTGGACTTTACTGCGTTGGCTGAGGCGGCCATCGAGGCCAGCGAAGGCGTTGAGGTTCATGGACCGGTGGAGCAGGGTGATTTCCTGCATGCCATGGGGATCGCGGAGCGGATGCAGCAGCTGCTCAAGGGCGTGACGGATGAGTCAAAGCGGAAGACGTTAGAGACTGGCTGGAAGAGACTGGTTGAGAAAGGCGGCGGTGGGATGGGCAAGATCTACAAGGTCATGGCCATCGTTCCGGAGAATAATGGTAAGCGTCGTCCAGTTGGGTTCGGGGGAAATATCATGGCATGAGCCATTGTATACTAGAAGATAAAAAAAAGTGTATATTAGTTTCACCGTACACTGCACCACGGATAAATAACCTCAACGATTTTCGGTCTTGTAGAATATTCTCGTTCTAAACCGAGTGTCTCCGTATCTCGCTCTGATCTCTATAATAACTCATGACCACTAGTCCCCACTATATAATCTAAAACAACGAAGCCACAAGGGTATAAGTAAAAAGTCACCACGTCATCCCCAGCAAAAGAAAAGGAACAGACCCTTTAGTACTCCCGCCAAATATCTTCCACATATGCTTGGGTCAACCGGGTGTCCTTCCCGTACTTCTCCTGCCACTGCACGAAGCCTCCTTCCAGGACAAAAACCTTCTGTTTGTGGCTTTCCTCGGCGCCGAGCACACGCTCTCTCTCCCGGGCATAACGGAGCGCCGCAGAGGGACCGCGCTGCTGACTGAGCGCACAGTGAAACACCACCTGCTCCTTGTCTTTCAGCGTGCGGACGAGTTCGGGCATGCGCACGTCCAGCGTGGAGCTAGGGACCCAGGTGGAAGAGAAAATATGGCCGCCGACGTGGTCTAAATTTCATTCGGGTAAGTTCCTATGCAGTCTAAGTATTCGTATGAGGGAGGAACGTACCAGAGTCACGGACATCTACGATGGCCAGAATGCTGGGGGAAGTAGCCGAGAGGAGGAGGGCCGAGAGAGCATCGCGGCTCATGCGGGGAAGAGTTGCGATTGTGATGGAGGACATTTTTGATATCTTGCGTGGTAGAGTCTTGAGGTGGGCTTCGTTGGATTATAAACAAATCAAACCAGGAACCTGAGTCATATACCGACTATGTTGCTCCCAGATCCAATATAAATGAGGGGTAACGAGTGATGTAGTCTGTCGAGTGCGTTGGGATCTCAAGTCAATTGTTCGAAGTATGCCGCAGCTCACGTGACACGAAGATTTCCGAGCGGGAAATTCCAGCGGATAGCCATTGAGACTCCCTTCTCCGCGATCTTGCCTCCGATAACCACTTCCTCTTGTCTCAATTGGAGCGTGGGTCCTTGCGCTCAACTCAGCGGAAACACCTTCGATATCGGTTTCTGTGGTGCCCATCGCACTACGACCATCAGAGCTCTAGCCATGGAGATGCGTACCCTGTCGCAGTGTCTTCGCTCGGCTGCCCGGCCGACGACGATACCGACATCCCTTCTGTACACGAAGCAATTCGCCAGACAGTCCCTCCCAGCGATCCGTTACAACTCCTCTTCCTCCTCGTCGTCTTCGTCGTCGTCGTCGTCATCCTCACCCTCCTCGTCCTCCTCATCTTCGCCCGCGTCACCCTCCACGCCGTCGACCACATCCACATCCGCATCCGCCTCCACCCCGGCCTCACAATTCGGCCTCCCCCCGAACCGCAAACCGCACGGAGCCTTCGGCAGCGGCGGCGGCGTCCCTTCATCGCCCAAGCCCACCGCCTACAACTCCAGCGCCGACATGGCCTTCGACGAGATCTTCAGCAAGCTCCGACTGGGCGGCCGCCACGCGCCGTCGAACGATCCCTCCGCTGCGGGCGCCGGCCCGCTCGCCGGGCTCGCGGCGCAGGAGAACCTGCGCCTGGCTCCGAAGGTCAACCTGAAGCTGGGGCCCGCCCTCGGCCGGGAGATCTCCATCGAGCCCGACCGCGGCAACGATCTGTCGTCCGCGTTGCGGATGCTGGCCGCCCGCCTGGGCCAATCCCGGTTGAAGAAAATGGTCAAGGATCAGAAGTTCCACGTCCGGAAGGGACAGCTGCGCAAGGAGAAGCGAAGTGCTCGGTGGAGGAAGCTGTTCAAGTTCTCCTTCCAGGACACCCTGCGGCGCGTTGAGAAGATGAGAGCTCAGGGTTGGTAAGAGATTCTCTAGATTCCTCGGTGTTCTGTTCTGCGGGGATTGGAGAGGCAGATGGATGGGGTGGTTTTCTTTTTTACCCCGGGGGTGTATATAACGAGATGCGGGTATGGTTTTTCCATCAGGGAGGAAAGAGGAGGTCTTGTTTTTGGGAGATAGGGATGTATTGAAGCAACGAGCACAATAGAGATTTGTTGCGGGAGGGGAAAAAGGGTGTTCGCCTTGCTCTGTATACTAAATTCGGAGATTGTTTCATATTGCTATGGTTGTGTTTTTTACTTGCTATATCTCATTTGTTTTCTTGAATCCAATTGTGTCCAACAATAGAGTTATCACAAAACATGGTCTATCTATCTATCTATCCATCTAGCGGTATCTGTGGTCTATGTCCATTCCATGCCGTGCAATACAGCTATTCTGCACAAAACCATATACACTACAGACATTTTCCAACTGCAGACAAAAAAATAAAGATCCAAGTCAGTTCAGTCCCTCTTCCCACTACCTGTATACCCTCCATAGCCAAACCCAGCCCCGGCGGCCCCATTGCCAGCCCCAGCCGAAGAGTAACCACCATAACCATTCATCTTGCCGCCGTTCCCATACGTGATTCCCACAGCCCCATTACCCATCTTTCCTCTGGACGAAGAACTCACCCCGAGGATCCCTTCCCCCCTCCGCCGCCTGACCCCAAAAGAGCCACCGTTCCTCTCCCAATACAAAGCCACAACCGCACCGACCCCAGCAGCCATCACAAAGAACACCAGTCTGGAGAAGAAACCCGCGCCGTCGCCCCCGTTTGCTCCTCCCACCAGGGTACCAGACGCCCCCAGCCCCTGGGAAGGCCACCCAATGCCCCTCCCGCCTTCGACCCAGCTAACATGAAACGAGAACGTCAACGGCTCCCCGCGGATGACTTTCGTCCCATGGCCCGCGGTCCAGGGATCCTTGGCCGCCTCCACCACGGCCGCGGACGCCGCCTGTTCCTCATCGCTGGTATGTGTCTTCTGCATCTGTCGCTGAATAATAACATCGAACTCCGGGACCGAGTAGGCTGTGCCCGCGACGACGTAGCCCGCCGCCTTACCCTTCTTTGTCTTTTGTTTCGGATTCTTTGAATCCGCCGCGATATTGTGCGCTAGGAGGTTCATGTCCGTCCAGATGTGCAGATGGCTCCGCTGGAGCGTGCCCTGGAGCGCGAAGGTGATGGGCGTGTAGGACGGGCCGTCGGTCTCGATCTCGAGCTCGTGGCTCCCCGCGGCCTGGTCGTCGGCCTCGGTATCGGGCGTGTTGAGAAGATGCTGGGCCAAGGGGGCGGTGGGCACGCGACAGGTCATGGGCACGTCCGAGTGAACGTAGTATTCGAGGAGGTGGTAGAGCTCATCCGGGAGCGAGGCGATGGTGCAGTTGACGGTCTCGGAGACGCCGTAGTGGAGGGCAAGCGGGAGGGAGGTCTCGTTGCATGCTGGGAAGGGGATGTATTGGAGGTGTCCTTGATTGTCGGTTATCTGGAGGGTTGACAATTGAACGTATCAGTAAACTGTTTTCGCTTTTCAAGGTAATGGTGGCGATGTGATGAGGAAGAGGGGGAGTGGGTGGTGGTGGTGGTGGTGGTGGTGATTTACATGCTCGCCCGAGTCACTTCCAGAACAATGTGATTAGTATATTTGCTTTTCTCTTTCAAGCAAGATTGCTAGTGAAAGAACTCACATGGTCCGATTGAGACAGGTCACTGGTATGGCTTGTCCATAACTGTATCCGTTTCTACCGCTGGACGGGGAATCGCTGCCCCCCGCCGCGGAGGTCTGGAGAAAGACGGAGAATAGAAGGCCATACTGCCAAAGAGTGTGGGCAGTGCTGCCCCTGGTGGAGAATGGCATTTTTGGTTAAGGAAAAAGAAAATGTTATACTTGCGCACGCCGACAAGGCGTCTGGGCTCGCTGCTAGCGATAGCGAGGACGGAGAAAGAACAGCGAGACAAACACAGCCCTGAGCGTTGGTTGTGGTCCACGGTTATGGGGGCCGTCGCCGCAAGGGAACTAAAACTTGGTTAATTCGCCGTTATCCACCACATCTCACTCACACAGTCACTGCAACTGCTGTTCTTTCGAAATTCTGTGGTATGCCTCTCCCATCCGTACTAGCGCGATTGCTGAATCAACAACACTAATCTAGAGCAGTGCACTTCTGCACTTCTGTCTGTAGACATATACGAGAGAGAGATCCCTACGTTGTGCACTGTACTGTCACTAGTAGCCTTGCACCTACTATACTCATTTGAATAAAAAGGTATTAAATTATAGTCACTCATGGCTTCATGAACATGTACAACTTGTCTTGTACAACTTGTTTTTGTCCTCCAAGCATATGCATCCCACAGCATCCGATTCATTCTCTTATGCCAGGTTGGCCTTCTTCTTGAAAGCAAGGAGCAGGCCGCTGGTCGAGGCATCGTGGCCAGCACCGGCGCCATCAGTCTCCAGCTCCTGCTGGATCTTCTTGGCCAGAACCTTGCCCAACTCGACACCCCACTGGTCGAACGAGTTGATGTTCCAGATGGCACCTTCGGTGAAGGTAACGTGCTCGTAGTAGGTGATCAAAGCGCCGAGAGTGGAGGGAGTGATCTTCTGGGCCAAGATCGAGGTGGTGGGGCGGTTGCCCAAGAAGGTCTTGTGAGGCACCAGGTTCTCGGGGGCACCCTCAGTCTTGACTTCCTCAGGGGTCTTACCGACCATGAGAGCCTCGGACTGCGCAAGGAAGTTGGACGCAAGCATGCGCTGGTGCTTACCACCCTCGACGGGGTTGTGCGATTCGGCAGCCATGATGAAGTCCGAGGGAATGAGCTTGGTACCCTGGTGCAGCAGCTGGAAGAAGCTGTGCTGTGCGTTGGTGGCCGGCTCACCGAACAGGATAGGGCCAGTGGTGTACTTGACGTACTCGCCCGTGCGGGTGATCGCCTTACCGTTGCTCTCCATAGAAAGCTGCTGCAAGTAGGCAGGGAAGCGGTGTAGGTACTGGTCGAAGGGAGCAACCAGGTGGGTCTGGGCACCGAAGAAATCACTGTACCACACGCTCAACAGACCACCGATAGCGGGGATGTTCTGCTCCAGGGGAGTCTCGCGGAAGTGCTTGTCCATGGCGTGGGCACCAGCCAAGAACTGGTGGAAGTTGTCGAACCCGATGTAAATGGCAACGGACAGACCGATGGCACTCCAGACGGAGTAGCGACCACCAACCCACGATTCGAAACCAAACATGTTCTTCTTGTCAATACCGAACTTGGTGACTTCAGCCTCGTTGGTGGAGAGAGCAACGAAGTGCTTGGCAATGTGAGAATTCTCCTTAGCGGTCTCGAGGAACCACTTCTTCGCGGTGTTGGCGTTGGTGGTGGTCTCGGCCGTGGTGAAAGTCTTGGAGGCAATCAGGAACAGGGTGGTCTCGGGGTCGGACTCCTTGAGGGCCTCAGCAATGTGAGTTCCGTCAATGTTGGAGACGAAGTGCAGCTTCAGGTCGGCAGCACCATAGGGCTTCAGGGCCTCGGTCACCATGACGGGACCACTGGATTCCGCAGTTAGTATTGTGTCTGACGCGCTCATCGAGAAACCAGATTCCACTTACAGGTCCGAACCACCGATACCAATGTTGATGATGGTGTTGATTTTCTTGCCAGTGTAACCCTTCCACTCACCGCTACGGACCTGCTCGGAAAACTCCTTCATGTGCTCAAGGACAGCGTTGGTGTCCTCAACAACGCTCTTGCCATCCACCTGCATGGGTTCATTGGAGACATTGCGCAGGGCGGCGTGGTAGACAGCACGGTCCTCAGTGAAGTTGATGTGGTCACCCTTGAACATGGCATCACGGAGCTCCTCAATGTTGGCTTCCTTGGCCAGCTTGACCAGGAGAGCCAGGGTCTCTTCGGTAAGGAAGTTCTTGGAGAAATCGAAGAGGATCTCAGTGTTGTCAACGGTGTTGTTGAAGGTACGGCTGAACTTCTCGAAGCGCTGGGGATCCTTCTGGAAGCATTCCTTCAGGACAATGTTACGACCCACGGTGTTGTGGTGGTCCTGGAGCTCCTTCCAGGCGGAAAGCTCGGTGGCTTGAGAAAAGCTAGGCATGGTGATGAGAGCTACAGCAAATGTGGATGTCAGTGCGGGGCTCGAAGCAGTGTACGGAGAGTAGAAAGAGCTACAGCTAGCTCACGAAGGAATGGAGGGGGGTCAAAAGCTGATGCATACCTGAGTAGTGAAGATGGGAGATGGGATTTGGTGAGGAAGTGAAGGGGAGGACAGAAGCTGAAGAAGCAAAAGAAGAGAGAGAGAGAGAGAGAAGATAGACAGCGGGAAGCGCGGGCAGGATGACAACAGAGAAGGAGCGAAGATGTCGTAACCGGCGTGTTGCCCTCCGTCCAGAGAGGGGCTGCCGTGGGGCACTCCCGGTCAAACAGGAAACTCCCCTCCTTCACCCCCACCATCGTTTCTCACCAGTCGCACCTGGCGCCTTGCCGGCTGTGACGCTTCGATTTATCCGATATTTCCATTGCCGTGGACGAATGATTTGCGATATACCGTCAGCTGGACTATTGTATGGATATCTTTGTCATCGGTGTGCTTCTAGAACGATGCTCCCGAAGGTCTCGGATATTAATCTCGAAGGAGTGACCGGCTACCGTCTGGATACGAGCCTTTCACGCCAATTCACCTGAGGCACTTCCGGAGGATAGTTGTCCGATCAATAATCATCCGAAGTTGAGGATCCTTTCATGCTCGAATCGAAGTCTTCGGAAGATCCTTAAGATGCTGGTCACATCCCGGGAAATGTTTCCTTTCTCAGCCACATTGAGAGACGTCGCTCTACCCATGTTCAGCCACGGTCAATTGACAGACCTCAATGGGAGTTGAGGCTTTAGGATGTCGATGACTATTTTACGTATCAATTGAGAGATCGACATGGCCCTTTCACAACCGATAAGTTAGCCTAAGTCATCTTTACTATCACATGCGAAGGTTCAGTTGTAGAAAGTAAAGCTTTGCTCGAGGCGTGGTTATTGGAGCGTTATCTGCTTGCAGAAAATCTGCAAGTAGAGCATAATGACAAGAACTCAGTTAAGCAATCCAATGACCATGATGTTGATAATCAGCACCAATGCCTGCGTAGCGACGATAACGTTAGTGACGATCAATGCTTCTGCATGAGCTGGGTTGGCACCTGAGGCCTGAACTATGGGCCTGAAGTATCAGGCTCCCAGCAAGGGCCACGCACAGACCACCATTCTGATCGAGCCTCGATCAAATCCGCCGCAAGTCCTCCATCTTCTCCATCCACACCAAATCTCCTCATTTCTCATTCGACCTTTGAACTGCGCTCTGCGACAGTTGTGTTGCTTTTGAATTCGGTTCAAGAAATCTGTCTTGAGCGTCAATACACCATTCAGTCTTGTCCTCAGCTACGTATCTCGCGTCTTAAATATTCTGCAGCTACCGCAACGGAAGCTGCGAACAAGCTGCAATGTATAATCCTTACCAGCGTATGTCCTTGAACTGCTGCCCCCTTCACTTTCTGTGACGCGCATACTAACTTTGCAAAGCCCCTGGCCTTTATGGCCGCCCACCAGATTTCGGAAGCTACCCTGGAGCACCTCCGGGCATGGGTAAGGCCATCATCAATTCTTTGGATCGCTGTCGCATCACATATTGACTTCGTTAGCTCCTCCACCAGGTATGGTCGCACCTGGAACGACTCCTCCGCCGGGGATGCAGCAGGCCAACGCGCAACAGCCCGGTCGACCAGCCGGCTTCCCAGCCAACTTCCAACCTCCCCCCAACATGCCCAATATCAATTTCTCTGCCCCGGTCATTCGTCTCGGAACCTCAGGCCCGTCCAAATCAGCTACGCCGGATACCAGTAAAGAGCGCGGTGGAGATGCTCCCGGCCGACGGGCTGGCTTGGGCTCTTCTAGCTTAGAGTCTCAGCGTCAGAACGTTCGCGATGCGATGATGCAACTTCAACCTCCGACGCGAGAGGAAATCATTCGGACCATCTTTGTGGGCGGTATTACGGAAGGCGTGGCCGGGGATGAAGGCGTGGAGAGAATCTTGCGCTCAGCGGGAAACCTTCGGCGCTGGATTCGCGCCACCGATGCGGATGAGAAACCATGCAAATTCGGCTTTGCAGAGTACGAGGACCCTGAAAGTCTTAGCACTGCTGTGGAAGTGCTAAAGGATGTGCAAGTGCCTGTGAAGAGACAGTCACCGCCGGAGGGAGATGACAAGGAAGAGCATGAAGTCGAAAAGAGTACTTTACTGGTACGTTGCCTGCTACTCAAGATGTCTAACTGTACTGACTGTGTCTATCTAAAGGTGGTTGTTGATGAGAGCTCATTGAAGTACCTGGAGCAATACGAGTCCGGCAAGGGAGAGCAGGACCCAGCCGAACGTGAGGCGCGGATAAGTGCTGCACGCAGCACCCTTGCGGCCGTCTTGTCGGATCTGTGTCACCCCACTGCACCCACACAGAAGGAAGATGCATCGACTATCGATCGTGAAGGCGACACCACTATGAAGGATTCGGAGGGACAGAACGACGGAACATCCGCGGAAGTCGTTACTATTCCAATCACAGTGGAAGATGAGCTTGCCGATATCCCTCCTGAGATGAGAGAAACGGTCGCTAAGGAAATTGCTGCCTTCCGTGAGCGTAGCAATCGTCGGGACATTGAGCGATTGAAGCGGGAGGAGGAGATCGAGTCTATGGAGCGAGCACGCAATTCCGGATCGCGCATCAATCGACTGGCCTCACCTCCTCTCTCTGCCCCTAGTGGACCTGCTGCTGGCGCCAATGGAGTTCCCTTGGGCCCTCGCGACCGCGGTGTGCCTTCTGGGCCAAAGGCATTCGGAGTGCAAGTCCCTAAGGACTACCAAAAGGGAGTTTCTTTCGTCAACGGAGGTAATATCAATGGGGCTACGACCGTCTACATCGACCGGGAAGATGAAGACTCGGATGCTAGCGACGAGGAACTAGAGCACCGTCGTCAAGAAAAGAAGGAGTCCGAGCGTGAGAAGCAGTTCCTCGACCAGGAACGCCGCTGGTTGAACCGTGAGCGCAGCAGAACTGCTGCTTTGGAGCGCGAGAAGAAGCGAGACAAGGAAGAGGCAGCCAAAGTACAGGAGGTGCGCGATGAGATGGACAAGCGGTATCGCGAATGGAATGATGATGTTGAGGCCAACCGCAAATTGGAGGACTATTATGCCGATCGGGGTGCATGGCTCCGCAGCCGGGCGGCATTCCGAGCCCGGGAGGTCAGCATGGACGAAGCGGATCGGGCGGCGGAAGAAAGAGAACGGGCCCGGTCCGTGCAGCAACGGGAGCAGGCCCGCGGCATGGCAGACGATTTCCTCGCTCGGCAGGCCGAAGAGCTGGAGTCACGTACCCAGGCTCCCCGCGAACCCCAGCGATTCAAGCTTTCTCTCGGCGCAGCCGCGCAGAAGGCTCAAGCTGCCACCTCCCGCCGCACTATCGCGGAGGTCGAAGGCTTGCTGGAAGACGAAGAGGAGCCACAGGCCACCGCCAGACGACCTCTTATCCCCATCAAGTTCGACAGTGCTGCCGAAGCGGCTGGCCTGTCCGACGAGGAACGCGCACAAGTCGCTCGACAACTGGCTGCGGAGATCCCCACGGACAAGGAGGGACTCTGGAACTGGGATGTCAAGTGGGAGTTTGTGGACGAGAGTGTGGTCACCGAACAGCTCAAGCCTTTTGTGGAAAAGAAAATTGTCGAATACCTGGGCGTGCAGGAACAGATGTTGGTGGAAGTGGTCGAGGAACATGTTCGAAAGCATGGACAACCTCAAGAGCTGGTGGAACAGCTGGAGGAGGTAAGTTATCTAACTGAGATTCGTTGTTTGATCTTAACTAACTGGGTACTACTAGGCTCTCGACGAAGAGGCAGAGGTGTTGGTCCGGAAGCTATGGCGGATGATTATCTTCTTCTCGGAGAGCGAGAAGAGAGGTCTTTCCGGGTAGACGAAAGATTTCATTGTTTTCTTGGGGTCCAGTACTGTCATGAGTCACAAAATGAACCAAATGAACTGGATCGCGGCGTATTCGTGCTAAAACTACTTCTTGCGCAAGGGCGTTTTGCATTGCATTGCATTCCCGCATCTGTCCCAACCTACTTTGTAACTTATATCATGTCGCAGCAGATTCCTGCTTCCCTCGTAACACATCAAGCTCATCTTAGCCTTACTCTTCCCCCACGCCAGAATATCCACTGACAGTCACGCGGGCCTCCAGGAAAAAAAATCACTCACTCTAAGGCCTGGATTGAAGTTGATTGAATCCAGAAGAGCTGTGAGTGGCGGAGAAACCCATCCCACGGCCAGCCATAATTCCTCCGCCAATCGGGCGGGGTTTCCCCACACGGCGTGGAGGGGAAATGGGGGAAAGGCCAGTCCCCTCCCCCGCTATATAATCATCCATCGTCCCCTCGACGGGGGTTTCTTTTGCAATTCACAGACCTGGAATATTTCCAATTGACCCCGCTTCAACCAGACAAGATGGTCAAGATCACCAGTTTCACCACGCGGGACGTGAGGTTTCCGGTATGGCAGACCCTCCGACATGTTTACCCCTCTCTGTTTACTCTTGCCCTCCTGCCCCCGCAGCTTGCTAATCCACATCACGTTCATGACAGACCTCCCTCGACAAGACCGGTTCCGATGCTATGAATGCCGCCGGTGACTACTCTGCCGCCTACTGTATCATCTACACCGATTCCGAATACGCTGGACATGGCATGGTAAGCCGATCGTCGCCTAGGCGAACCGAAACAAGCCCCCAAGACGAGACTAATTATGAAGATAGACCTTCACGATTGGTCGCGGTAACGAGATCGTCGCCTCTGCCATTGAGCTCCTTGCCCCTCTCGTCGTTGGCAAGGATCTTGACGAGCTCACTGCTGACTGGGGCAAGACCTGGCGGTACCTGGTGTCCGACAGCCAGCTGCGCTGGATCGGTCCCGAGAAGGGTGTCATCCACCTGGCCCTGGGAGCTGTGGTCAATGCGCTCTGGGACCTGTGGGCCAAGACTCTTCAGAAGCCTGTCTGGCGCATTGTCGCGGACATGACTCCCGAGGAGTTCGTCCGCTGCATTGACTTCCGCTACATCACCGACGCGATCACCCCGGAGGAGGCTATTGCTCTCCTCAAGGAGGTCGAGGGCGGCAAGCAGGAGCGTATCAAGGAGGCCGAGCAGAGCCAGGCCGTGCCGGCCTACACGACTAGTGCCGGTTGGTTGGGCTACTCCGAGGACAAGCTCAAGGCGCTGCTCAAGGACAGTGTGGCCCAGGGCTACAAGCACTTCAAGTTGAAGGTTGGCGCGAACGTCGAGGAGGACCGCCGGCGGTTGGCGATTGCCCGTGAGGCGATCGGTTACGATAAGGGCAACATCTTGATGGTGGACGCCAACCAGGTATGTGCTTGCCTTTGCCTAGTTTCATTCCTTTGTCTGTCATCGGTCAAAACAAAAAGCTCGAGTGACTAACCCCACGGTGTGTCAAATCAGGTCTGGTCCGTCCCCGAGGCTATCGAGTGGATGCAGCAGCTCGCCGAGTTCAAGCCCTGGTTCATCGAAGAGCCCACCTCCCCCGACGACATCCTCGGCCACGCCGCCATCAAGAAGGCCCTCGAGAACACCCCACACGGCCCCATCGGTGTGGCCACGGGCGAGATGTGCCAGAACCGCGTCGTCTTCAAGCAGCTCCTGCAGGCGGGAGCGCTGACCGTCCTCCAGGCCGACGCCTGCCGTGTCGGTGGTGTCAACGAGGTGCTGGCCATCTTGCTGCTGGCCCGCAAGTTCGGCGTCCCCATTGTCCCCCACTCCGGTGGTGTCGGTCTGCCCGAGTACACCCAGCACCTGAGCACGATCGACTACGTGGTGGTCAGTGGTAAGAAGAGTGTCTTGGAGTATGTGGACCACCTGCACGAGCACTTCGTGCACCCCTCCAGTGTGAAGGACGGCTACTATGTCACGCCTTTGGAGCCTGGATACAGTGTCGAGATGAAGCCCGAGAGTATGGATCAGTTCGCATTCCCCGGTGAGGAGGGCAAGAGTTGGTGGCGGACGGAGGAAGCCAAGACTATTCTGGAGGGTCCCCGGATTGTATAGTTGATGGGTATGATATGAGACGAATGATTTTGTATATAGATCGCGGAAGCGAAATGAGAAATGTGCTCTTGTTCTTGGTCATTTAGTGTACGATACCAAGCACGGCTTGAGTAAAATTACCGAGGAGTGAAAGCGGAGCAGATGGTCTAGCTGCGTATGCTGTGGGTGGACTGGAAAGAGCGGTAGAGATGGACTTCCTTCTTCTTGGATATATAGGTCTGTTTTTTAAATCATGATATTACTAAGAATGGCGAGAGGCTCTAGACGTTCCTCGTCAATCTTCACCATGTCTGAGCTCACGGATAGAGTTGTAGATGGGTCGTTCCAGATACACTCCCTTGCAGCAGCAAGCATGCAACAACTCATCGCCATTGAATGCCAAAGATCTTGAGCGCCTTTCCAACTCCAGGCTTTTCGCGTGCCTGCTCTAGGACGACTCGGGGGTGGCCTATAAATGTCAGTCAATCCATCTATCCAATTTACCCCTTAAAAAAAGCACTCGCACTCACCTTTGACTTCCAGGGCAAGCAGCTGGTACTCCCACTCATACTGGTCCAAGGGCTTCATCATATGCACGAACACGATACCGGTATTGAGAGGGCCCTCGACCTTTACCACGCAGACAGTCAATAATGTAATCCCGGGCTGAAACCACCACTCCACGGGGAGAAACAACGTACATGGAAATTCATCTTCAAATGTTCGCGGCCCATTCGATCCTGGAAAACCGACGTCCTGCGCCCACATGCAAATTAGCGTTCAGAACGTTATTCCTCGCAAAAGTATACGAGGTATGGTATGGGTATGTATGGCCTTACGCAATCGGTCGGTTCCGAGCCCATCGGCTCCAGGTACTATCCCCGTACGCCTTGATTTCCCTGCGATCACCCAGGAGATCCGTACACCGCGGGTCGTCTTTGATGCGCTCGACTGCCTTTTCGAACTGCCAGGTCTTGCTGTTGGGAGAGAAGACCTCGGTGTAGAGGAGGTAGAACACTCCACCCTGGTACATGAAGCTGTTAGATTCGGTTCAGAAGACGCAGCAGGCGTAATGTAATTGTGCGAGCGACAGCCCAAAACAAAAAAAAAAAAAAGACAGACTCACCGTCAACACGGCACCAGCGACGACCACGAGGAAGTTGACCGACTGCTGTGTCGCCCGCGCGACCTTCTCCCGACCGCTCAGCTCCCCCCACTCGTACCGGCCATCGTCGGACAGGACTGTCACGTTCCTTCGTTTGGGGGTCGGGTTGGATCCGGGCCCTGAGGTCGCATAGTATCGCGCGAGGGCGGTCGTGCGGGGAAGCGCTCGACGCAGTAGGTGAGCGGCGGTGGAGGAGGAGGAGGCCCGGAAGAGGGCAGGGTTAGGTCGGAGGTGGGCGAGCATTGTGGTGAGGGGCTAGTTCAGCTGAGTACCAGTAAAGGCCTCATGGAACGAAGAGTGGCTGTTGTGGTTGAGAGATGGTGAACATGGGCAGACGAAGCACAAGTTCGGGGGTTGTCTGCGCAATCTTTACTCTTCCCGCCGGGCAGAAATGAAGCAGGAAGCCATGGATTGGATGGATCCCATTCGGCGACGGCAAAGGCCGACTTGAATGGAAGAAGAAAGCGTGTGGGGGTGCGGAATCGGAGTGGGTCACGTGCGAAAGGGCCCTGGCCTGGTTTCAGCCGCCGCCGTTGCATACAAAACACTCGTATTTGCAATACGTCTGCCGCCCACAGTCCTGTAGGTAGTAGCTACGTCAAGGTATGATTTTCATGGATCACTATGAGGAACTCCTGTCAACTCCCTAGGTGAGGAGATATGTGGCAGTCAATTGAGTTGCTGTTTAGCTGAGCCAGGGATTTGTTTGTCTTCGAAGCTCGCGCTTGTTTGTTTGTATGCCTCCTGTGTTTGCCACAACGAGCAAGGTATGGTTGTTGCAGAAGTGCCACTAGCTTAAAGTGAAAAATACCGGGGTGGTACTCAGTCCCAATCCGACCACGTTCGCTCGCTCCTCCCGGGCTGCTTTTTGGATCCTGTCGTTCTCCCTCATCTCCGACCGATCTCCCTCCCTACCCCCTCTCTCCCTTTGTCTTCGACATCTACTCGGATTCTGTCTCCTAATCTGAGTCTTCTCCTTCTATTCAACACCAGCCATCATGTCTGCCTCCAAGGCGGAGTCTCAAAAGATCTTTGAGAAACTCAAGCTGAAACCCGCAAACAAGGTGCGCCGTACCCCTCCCCGCCTAGCAACCGATCTCAGTACTGACTCGATTCCGCACAGATCTGCTTCGATTGTGGCTCCAAGAACCCAACATGGTCCTCCGTGCCTTTTGGTATCTACCTGTGCCTTGACTGCTCGGCCCATCATCGTAACCTGGGCGTCCACATCTCCTTTGTTCGCTCCACGAACCTCGACCGTACGCAACTCCTGACCAACAATCCTATCGTGATGCTAATGACTGGCGCATAGAATGGCAATGGGAGCAGCTCCGGATGATGAAAGTCGGTGGGAACGAGTCTGCCACTAAGTACTTCCAATCGCATGGAGGTTCTGCCGCTCTGGCCAGCAAGGACACCAAGGTCAAGTACACATGCAATGCCGCCGTCAAGTATAAGGAGGAGCTGAAGAGACGGGCCGCTCAGGATGCGCAACAGTGAGTCTCTTGCATGCACATCCCCCATAGCAATTCGTACAGTATGGGGTCTGATCGTACGCTACCTCATTAGGTATCCTGAAGAAGTGGTGATCACCGACATCCCCGTCGGCACCTCGTCCAACGGCTCCAGCACCCCGGCCGGTGACGCTGATGACGATTTCTTCTCCTCGTGGGACAAGCCGTCCATCAAGCGGCCAAGCAACCCTCCTTCCCGCACGGGTACCCCTCCCGTCGTGAGTCGCACCGCATCGCCCTTCCTGAACTCGGGTGCCAACGGCTCGCGCTCCAAATCCCCGCTTTCCGCCTCCGATAAGGACAGCCCTGCTGCCTCTCCCGCGCCGGCCGCTATCCGGGCCAGTGCTGCTGTTCGCAAGACCTCCTCGACCGCAGCTGCGAAGAAGGGCAGTGTGTTGGGCGCCAAGAAGGCCCCCAAGCTTGGGGCTAAGAAGATTGTTAGCGGTGCGGACATGATCGATTTCGACGAGGCGGAGAGAAAGGCCAAGGAAGAGGCTGAGCGCATCGAGAAACTGGGTTACGATCCCGAAGCCGAACGGGCTGAGGCTGAGTCCAAGGCTAAGGCCACCACCGCCGCCGCGCCGATTGCCTCCCCTACCCCCATCAACCCTTCGCGGGCATCTCAGGAACGGAGCTCTGGTGATGTGGAGCGCCTTGGAATGGGCATCGGGAGACTGGGATTTGGACAGACTGTTGGCGCACCGAAGCCTCCTGCTCCGAAGAAGTTGGGCTTTGGCGCTGTTGCTACCAGATCTGCTGCAGATGGTTCGTTCTCCTGTCGATTTGTAGATGTAGTATCGGTTGCTAATAGTCTCACAGACGAGGAACTGAAACAGGCCAAGTCCAGATTTGGCACTCAGAAGGGCATCTCGTCGGATGAGTTCTTTGGACGGGATCGCTTCGATCCTAACGCCCAAGCCGAGGCCAAAGAGCGTCTTCGTCAATTCGATGGAGCCACTGCTATCTCCAGCAACACCTACTTCGGCCGCCCTGAGGACGATCTTCCCGCCGAGAGTGACACCTATGGAGACATCGAGAACGCGGCGAAGGACTTTGTGCGTCGGTTCGGTATCACAGCCGGTGATGATCTCGAGAACCTGACGCAGCTGGTTGGAGATGGTGCCGTCAAGCTACAGGGTAAGTCTTTGTTCTACTCACTTTCTTCGCAGGAAAATCATACTGACAAATTGTTGCTCTACAGGTGCTATACGCAGCTATCTTAACAGCTAAACGAGTCCCTTTTTTTGTCGTACCTAACGCCTTCAATTCCCCGCTTCTCGCACCCATCTTGATCTTTTTGTGTTAGCCAATTCTATCTTCGATCTCCTTCCACATGTGGCGTTTACATCCTCATGAACTTTCTATTCCCCAGATTCGTACCATTCCTAGACAGACAACTAACCCGGTCGACTTTCATCCGGACGTGCAGTGCTTCGCAGGCTGCTAGACCCCGTCGTCACTTGATGCGGTGTAGACCAGACCGGCCTTTGCTCGTCACTCGTTGCTCTTTTTTCTTTTCCCTTGTTCAAAATTACCGTCAACAATTGTTTTGCTACCAGCTTCGAAACGCTCCTTGGGATTCTTGTATATTCGTTGCATATAAGTAGTGTCACTTGCCAGTATTAGGAAACCGCATCAATGTAAACGCCTAGCATTGGGTTCTTTCGATTCATGGGATGCAACCGCACTAAGGACAATCTCGGTCTATATATACGCAAACAATTTTGTTTGGGGGGGGTTTCTTATACGACTCCCCTATAAATGGCATCCGCCACCCTCCCGACCTGCCACATCTCCTTCACATCGTGCACGCGCACGATATCGGCGCCTCCAGCGATACTGGCCGTGACCGTGGCGGCCGTGCCCCAGGTGCGCTCACTGGCCTTAGTCACGCCGGTCAAGCGACCGACGAAGCGCTTGCGGCTCGGCCCCAACAACCAGGGGAAGTACTCGAGGCCTTCGACGGCGGCGCCAGTCCGCAGCTGGGGCAGGTCGCGCAGGAGGGCGAGATCGTGGGGCTCGTTCTTGGCGAACCCAAGGCCGGGGTCGAGGATGATGCGCCAGCGGCGGATTCCGGCGGCCTCGGCGGCGGCGACGCGGTCGCGCAGCTCGCGGCCGACGTCCTGGACGACGCCGTTGGGGTAGTCGGTCAGCCGGGTCATGGTGGCCGGGGTGCCGCGCATGTGCATCAGGATAACGGTGGCGCCGGTGCGCGCGGCGGTGGGCAGCATCTCCGGGTCCAGCAGGCCGGCCGAGACGTCGTTGATGATGTCGGCGCCCGCCGCGACGGCCGCCTCGGCCACCCGCGCCCGGTACGTGTCGATGCTGATGGCCACGCCCGCCGCCTCCGGGATCGCCGTCCGGATGTGCCGGATCGCCGGCACCACCCGCCGCAGCTCTTCAGCCTCCCCGACGGGCTGCGACCCCGGCCGCGTGCTCTCGCCGCCGATGTCGATGATCGTCGCCCCCGCGCGGATCATGCCGCGCACCGTCGCCGTGAGCGCGTCCAGGTCCTGCGGCGAGTGGCGTCCGCCGTCGGAGAAGGAGTCCGGCGTCAGGTTGAGGATGGCCATGATGTGCGTGCGGCGTTTCGGGGCTGTGGAGTGGATGGCTGGGAAGGTGGAGGAGATCGGGGTGGTGGCCACGGGGAAGAGCGTGGGCGGGGCGAGGGATTTCAGGTGCGCGAGGTAGGTGGTGCTGTGGCCGGGGAAGGGCGGGCGTTCGTGGGGGATGAGTCTGGCGGTGATTAGCTTTTCTGTTTGTGCTTGGGTTTGGGTGTCTTGAGGAGGGTCCATCATGGTGAAGACCTACTGACTCAGTGGGCGAAGGACGAAGTCGCGCTCCAGCATCAGTTGGTGTGGGATGCTGAGCCGTTCGTGGGAGAAGATCTGCTGGTCGTACAGGAGGATGTCCAGATCAATAGATCGGGGCCCCTTGTCGATGAGCTTCTTCCTGCCCAGGCCGATTTCAATGGACTGCAGGGTGTCGAGGAGATCCATGGGGCTTAGGCTGGTTTCTACCTGTAGATCGATGTTAAGAACCATTGAGAATGCATTGTTTCTGGGGATTTATGGGCAGAGAGAGATGGACAAACCTCGCACACTCCATTGATGAATGGGTCCTGGTCGAGAACGTACATGGGAGCTGTCTCGAAGAGCGAGCTGGTTCTCTTGACCCGAATACTGGCTCGCTCCATCTCACGACAGGCGGCCTCAATCATCTCGATGCGATCTCCTACGTTGCTCCCAAAGGCGATGAATGCGCGATGCATTGGGGGCTGATGGGCGTCCATGCTGGCGTTGAACAGCGCCTGTCGGCTAGTTGAAACCCGTCTTATGGAAGGTCTGGATGCTAAGCCTTCATGACCGGGTTTCCTCGGTCTTGATGCAAGTAGAGATCGTCTCACCAAAGAAGGTCGGGACTGTACATGTCCTAATTAGGGGTTAGCTAGGGCTATGAAAACTGCGATGTAGAAGGGAAAAAAGTTCACTAGACGCTAAGGGGTTCTAGAAACAAGCATCAACAGGCCATTGGACTGCGAGGGTGGGTCTAAGGGACTCCATACCAGATGTAGACAATTCTCTATGAGGGGCGTGGGTTAGATTTAGTTTCAACGGGCAATTTTGACTGGCAAATAGACCTGCCTCTTCGGTGAGCCTACACTCGAGGAGTAGGCACTTCCACCAGGCCGTCCGAATGACTGGGACAAGCAAATCGAGGCCCCACTGAGCCGGCTCAGTGAACCGGAAGACCGAAGGGCGGTATTCAAAGTGGCAGCATTGCGATACCAAGTGGAAGAGGACCGATATGCCATTCTTCAGGCGCCCAGGACGGAATGCAGCAGAGGTTACCAGCGGCGAATGCGAATGCGTGGGAGAGGGAGAGCGGAATACGTCATGCGTCAGAGCGACAGAGCGACAGAAGCCCGAGCGAGACTTTGGCGCCCCCTCAGTCAGCTGATTTGATGCGGTTGGTGCCTGAGGCATGAAGCGCAATTCTGCCGCGACGCCGCCTCTCTCTCTCTCCCCGCATTTCCACATTTTGCCTTCAGCTAATCGGTGCCAGCGCACGGTCACAAAGTTGAAGCCACTCGATAAGTAAAAAGCACTACTACATTAAACTTCAAGTAGAAAAACAAAGTTGTTGAGTTTCTATAGGAATTTAGTTTAGTATATACAGTACTTGCAACTCTCAACGAAAAGGTAATGCGCTTAGATTGCTTGCTCACCTATATGAGAGTATAGTAGAGTTCCTTTGTACTCAGTATCTGCTTGCTCATGACGCTGAATTGAGGCTGATTGTACGGAGTACACAGTTACACAAACACGAACAGGTACACTAAATAAATCATGTGCTCATGGCCAACAACCCTTGACGGCTGGATGGCCTGAGGCAAGTGTGACGAGGCGGGAGTAGGTAGCCGTCCGTCTGATCGATGATCATCATCTCGACTGGACCGAGGCACAACCCCCGGGGCAATCCTCACTCCTCGGTTCTCCCTCCCCCCTCCTTGTTTGCAATTCTTTATGACTTCTAGTCACAGTTGCTTTCTTTCAAATCCTTTTAAATACTTCTCCTGAGCGTCTTCCATCCCACATCAATTTCCATCTTATCTTGATCTAGCGATACCCACTTTGCAGCTCCGTCCTTCTAGCCCTTGAACATGGCTTCTCCTCGTAAGCTTCCGTCGCTACCTACCCCGGATTCTACCACTGTCACATGTGTGACAGCTGTGGTACCCCCAGACGACTTTTCAAGACCCTTCCTGCTAACCACCACACTTTCAATATACAGAGCAAATCCGTACCACCCTCACCGATCTTTTGAAGATCAACCACCCCATCCTGCTGGCAGGAATGAACGTGGCCGCTGGGCCCAAGTTGGCCGCAGCGGTCACCAACGCCGGTGGCTTGGGAGTCCTTGGAGGTATCGGCTACACCCCCGACATGCTTCGCGAACAGATTGCCGAACTCAAGAGCTTCCTGAAGGACCAGAGCGCACCCTTTGGTGTTGATCTGTTGCTTCCCCAGGTTGGCGGTAGTGCTCGGAAGACCAAGTGAGTAGTGGGACTAGTTTCGCATGTGATTTGCCGATCATCTGGATCGTATGACACGGTCGTCTTGTGGGAAGAACCGGAGTCGCTAATCCTGTCTCTCGTCAGCTACGATTACACCAAGGGCAAGCTCAACGAGCTGATCGATATCATCATCGAGAGTGGCGCAAAGCTTTTCGTTTCGGCGGTCGGTGTGCCCCCCAAGCATGTCGTCGAGAAGCTGCACGGTGCGGGCATCCTCTACATGAACATGATCGGTCACCCCAAGCACGTGCAGAAGGCTCTGGATGCCGGTGCCGATATCATCTGCGCTCAGGGTGGTGAAGGAGGCGGTCACACCGGCAATGTTCCCACGACCATCCTCATCCCCACGGTGGCCAAGCTGTGCCAGGGGCGGAAGAGCCCCTTGACTGGCAAGCCTGTGCAGGTGGTCGCTGCCGGTGGTCTGTACAACGGCAACTCCGTCGCTGCTGCGCTCATGCTGGGTGCCTCGGGAGTCTGGATTGGTACTCGCTTCATCCTCTCCGAAGAGGCCGGCGCTCCCAAGGCTCACCAGGAGGCTGTTCGTACCGCTGGCTTTGAGGACAACGTTCGCACCATCATCTTCACGGTACACTCACCTTTCCAGTGTTAACCCTCGAGTGACATGTGGCTAACAAGGCATAGGGTCGCCCGCTCCGCGTCCGCAATAACGAATACATCCAAAACTGGGAGGAGAACCGACGGGACGAGATCAAGCAGCTGACCTCGAAGGGCATCATCCCCGTCGAGCACGACATGGAGAATCTCCCCGACGATGTCGATGACTCGGTGCTTGAGAACGCGCGCCCTTACCTCATGGGTAAGGTTGCTGCCGTGGTCAACGAGAAAAAATCCGCCAAGGCGATCGTTGACGAGCTTGTGACGGATGCCGCTGCTTTGTTGCAGAACGGCCACAAGATGCTTGCCAAACTGTAGATACCAATTTGCCTGATACCTATGTTGCATATGTTTCCAAAATTTTTGGCCAGTGCTAATCTGCTTCTTTTGCTTCTCGACGATGCTATCATACGCATTATAGCTATTGGTTATGACCCACTGAGTGATTGAAAACCCTTAGGTCTGTCTTAGATTTAGCTTCAATCGACTGGGTGACTACTTGCTAGTACATAAACACATCTCTTTATAAGACTGACGTTTGGTTTCGTAAGGAAAATGGACCGTCCAAATAAGTTGGAATAAGCTGAATATGTATATGTGCTCAGTTCTTCGCCCAGATGGTCCCTGCATAGCGAGTTTCCTTCCTCTTGGATCAGCCTACCTGAAAGATGTTACGTCTCCACCCGTCCAGCAAGTCATTTCTTGCGTCATGTTCATGGTCGAAGCGAACACTGATACTGAACCAGGGAATGCCCATGAGCACATCCAGCTTCTGTCAGCACACGCACCCCACAGCCATACAAGCAGTTATGTTACCACTGCATGCTTCCCCAGGACTGCGGATTCAGCAACGCGGTTCATGACAGGATCATAGAGAGTTGCCTTCTTCAACCGCACAGTACATTACTTGTTCGCATCCGCGAAATGATCTCACAGGACTTACACTTTCGGAGCCAAAGAATGGCAATGAACTTCGAGACGGGCATTTGCTGATCAAAGGCTCCGATACTCAAGACAACACAAGCCGCCATGGCATGGCAGAGGAATTAAAATCTCTTGGAGGAATGTCCACGCCCGACATCTTGTGCTGAGCAGCCAGAGTGATTAGTTACACACGGGGACTCGTTTGCGCTTTAAGGAATAGTAATAGTGTACAGTGCAGTAGGATGCAGACCTCCGCATGTGTTGGTAGCATGAGTCACTTCAAGAATCATAATTCAACAAAGCCCCACGCCGCGGACCGCCTAATCATCGACAGTACAATGGATGATGATGTTCAAGACAGCATAGACACCGTGCCCCGGACCTGCAGAAACATCTGCTTTCCACCGACTTGTCACGATTCGCCCAAAGATGCGCCAGTGGTGATGAGATCAAGAATGCCGCCGATCAGCAGTCAGCCGGGTGGAACATGCAGCCCTAGGCTGATCTGCGATACATGTTTAGCAGAGGAACTTTGAATTTGTAGAATAAAGTGCTTCCAGCCTTGTACTGTACTCATCCAGCATTCCATGTATCTACACACAGAGGCGATGCTCGCTAGTCCCCTGGCTGACACACACAAACAGGCGCCTGGTTCTCGGGTACAGAGGGGCTCACCCTGGCGCAATACGAGAAGCACAAATGGGTTGGGCTGCTTGAAGTTCTAGGGGCTGTCGATGATGGCTTACTACGCTATCTTTTCAGGGTTCAAAAGGGAACGGGTGGGCATCTGCATCCTTTGCTGTTGCGGTGTCCCCCAAGCCATGACACGGTGCGGTACCTTAGTGCTCGCGAGCCGACGGCCCGTAGTAGGGATCGGCATTCCTAGGCTCTGTGTGCTGTGCTGGCACCGTCTCGGGTCAGTCGATCCATGTCATATATACCACCGAGTAAGTTTATGCTAAAAGAAAGTGTGCAGGAAGATCACGGCGGCGGCGGCGGCGGCGGCGGCAACCACTCCTTACACTGGGATGCTGAGAGAAACCTTGACAGGTAATTCTTGCCATGAGATGAACGGCTTGCGAAGGCCGCTCTTTGGCAGCCTACTTCATCTCTGGGCCAGGCTTACAATGAACATCTGATTTTCATGCGGCTCATACTCGCGCCGGGCTATCGTGCTGTGGACCGTTGCATCACCCACCCTCGGTATCATAGTTGTGCTAAGACGAATAATAAGGACGACGTATCCCACTTCAGCATGAGACAGGTCTCGGTCCTGCAATGGCATCAATGGTCGGTTCACTCCAAGGTTCACTTCGCGACGTAGGTACACCCAGCGCCAATCCGGCTTATGACCGTCCAAGGGCGCGCCAAAGCAGCCGGTCGATGTCTAGCGCATGAATCCGCGGACACGAGTCCAGAAACTAAGAAGAGCAATGCATACAGTACAGACCCTACCGAAACTGAATCTATACGGACCTACCACTCGTTCTGGGAAGGATGCGCCGATGCAATCCCATGAACGTGACAAGGAGAAGGACATCGATTAGTGGATAGTCAGGACGGGCACGGGACGGGGGTATCGCCCCGATCTCCGGCGATCGTGTACATGTCCCGATCCTTTTCTAAATGAGAATGAGGACTTGTCGCAATAGAAAAAGGGGGACGATGAAAGAAGGAGAGCACGTACTTTCAAACGTTGACGACACTAGACAACCGGGCTAAGCTCGCGGAAGCGGCACGCGCCTCGGATACATTCCGTTGGCGTCTTAGGTTTAGAGTACATAGCTTTAGAACCTCCAGGCAAAAAGAAAAAGTCGATGTCGGTGTTAAGCTTTAGAGCTAAGATTCATTTCTCGGAGGAGTCGGAGAAAATGGACTCGTTGAGGAATGGCTCTTCGGATTTTAGACTTTCTGAGATGCAGGCTAGCCTGGATGTGGTATGATTCCAGGAACGATGTCGGCGGCCAGCCTACCTCGCGGGAAATGAGATCCCGGGTTGAGACTCATATCGCTAGATGCTGGGTCTACGGGAACGTAATCAGTCTACTCGGCGGATAGGTTGTTGTTACATAGATGATGCGTAGTTGACACAGCCGACAGTTAGAGAGTGTGGTTTGAGTTTGTACGAAGTAGATCTTGTGGATGGTTTAGGTATTAAGGGTCAAGCGGAAGGGAGTCAGAAGTCTATATATACACTAAAGGTACGCAGCTATATCTCAGATGCACGGGATCGGACATCGGCCCCCGGATCTGTCGACCTATATGCGCGGTGGATATAGTCGTTACATATATTTATTAGTGATTCTGAAATGCTATCTCGCATTGATGAGCTGGCGCTACAGGGATCCCATGAAGCGAACAATGTCGGCTACTTGACTCTAACCCACGCCGTTAACGCCATCTTATTATTAGTGCCCTACATGAAGGAGACAGCGACGCACATGTTAGCGGCTGCAGTCTGCCAGTTCGAGGGCTAACAGCCGACACTAACCGGGATGTCTCCTTGCTGTAGGTCGTCCACGGAAGTCTCTCCATGCGGATCTCCATCGCATCGATAGGCCTCTTCCTCGTGCAATTTAATTGAGAGGAAACCTCCAATTAGACTAGGTAATGCTACACCACCACGCAACACTCCCTGCTTGTCTGCCGATAGTCCACCTTCGCGTTACATAGTACTCCGTATTGAAGGTATTGGTGGTGGTACTATGTGCGGTACGTACCTAGTAACTATAGCATGTCAAAAATCTTCCACCAACCGCCTAGTCAGCCCAATCACATCGACCCCGAAACTAAGGTACAGAATGACTGATCTAGCGGCCAGCCCGCTCAGCAAGAACAATTAGATCCAGTGCCAGCGGTTCGGGTCTAGTTCTGTTCTTTCATCGGCTCGGCAAAGTACCCGCTGACTAACGGAGCGGAAAGAGAGGAAATACTCGGTGGAAAAAGCTCTCACATCCTCCATGATTAGAGGTTCAATTGGGGAACCTGACTCAATTGAATGGGAGTGATAGGATGGACCAAATGCTATATGCACGCGAATGAGAAACTCGGGTCTTCAAGTTTGCTCGGGAACCCGAGCCGAGGAGGGTACAAGGTACAGGATGGTGGTGGCTGCAGTGGAAACGGTTCAAACCCGCGCGTGCTGCGCTGTCCTGTCACGCGCGCCCGCCAAGCCTGATGAGAGAGAGAGTTTTCCTCGGGAAAAGAAGCAAGAAGAAAATTCATCTCCAGGGCTAAAATGGGGACTTGGAGGAGGTTTAGATGGATCTTAAGGCGGGTCCAGATTTTTTTTTGTCTTCTTCTTCATCTCGTAGGGGTGGGCAGTTTGGAATGGCTGGAGGAAGGATCCATATCAAGAACTCGATCATTGTAAGGCCAGTCAACGCCTTCATGCACTCCGCAAGTAAAGTGTCCCTTGAAGCGCGAGTCGAGAATTCCCAATGTTTCGTGGCATCAAGAACATGACAACCGTCTGCAGTCTATCCTGGTGCCTGGTTCAATTGTGGATTGCAATTAGTAGTCTAGCTCTTGTCAACGTTACGGCATATCCGGGCCCTGATGCCTTTCCTTCTCCCTTCATGCTTGCTCTTTTTAGAATGGCAGCTCCGACAGCAAGCAAGCTCGCACCAATGGTAAAACGAGGCGCCGCTACCGAAGTTTCGGTTGCCTTGGGTGTGCTTGGCTTGCTGGATGAAATGGATAATTCCCGCAAGGCGTTTTCTTCCTAACACCGGTCGTATACTGTTTGTCGCGAACGGGAAGCAAGGAGCTTGGGTTCATCGGGAAATTGAATAAAAATTCGAGTTTTGGTGTATGTAGGGGCAGTGACAAACACAATTTCAAGCACAGGTGGTGAGTTGCTCAATTGAGGTAACGTCCTCGACTGCTTCCTTATGCACAATTGCACATCCTGAGCGGAGCGAATGATCGACGCGACTCATGACGGTGGCCCTGAGAGGATTCCCCATACTTAGATTAAAAGAGGCGAAGGGATGATGTTGGGGAGCATCAGAATTGCCAGGCGTCTCAGAGGGCCGGAAGGTGACAGAAGCCGACAGTTTCGACTCTCGAGTCATCATTACGCTGGTCTGGGCGATTAGAGGCAAAAAGCTAGGAAGAATACGGGAGAACGGAAACGGCGGAGTGGGGTGGTTTTTTTCTTGCACCGGAATCTGGTGGAGTGCGAAGTTCGTGGAGATCCACATGTTAATGCTCGACGGTACGGGTACAGTGCGGTACCTGAATTGCATGGTTGATGACAGTCTGAAGACTTACAGAGCACGACAGAGTTACCAGCGCCACCAGAGACGACGAGGTGTAAAGCCATCGCACGGATAGATGAATAGGGTCGGAATGCTATACTAATAGGGGACAGACCTCCAGACGCTAGACGCCGCTGAGCAGGGGACGGAAATTGCCATGTTGCAACATCAAACAGGATCTGTCCCTTCCGAGCTGACTATGTCGACATCCCTATAGGAGATTGCGGCCGAAGTGCATCCAGAACCTCCTTTGTCTTGCTCATCTACGGAGTAGTTAGATGCAAAATCGCCATCTCTGGGATAGATTAATCGCAGGTAGGTGAACTAGGTTATGTCCAGAAAGGACAATGCAGTTATTAGGTCGTGGCCCTTGTAGCTGAGCTGGCAGCAATCTAATAACTCTTGCGCTAAAGACTGGTATCAGGCAATGGCTGACCCCCGGAAATATCCCTGCCTGGACGGGTGAAGTCGCAGTACTAAGGTACTAGTAGTATTAACTTCCTTAAGTTCTTATCTCATGCTGCAGGCGACCAATCACCAAGAGGCGTGGCCAGTTGCGAAATGAACCGCCACGTTCCAATCAAGCAGCGTCGATGAGCCGGGGGGTGAATGCGCCAAGTCGCACGCATCTCTTGGTGCTATTGCTTGTCTGAAGCTTCGCTATCTGATAACGATGGATGACGGCGATCCCCGCGACCTGTCACGTAGAGAGGCCGCAAGCACGTAGGTTCCCGAAGGCGTGGGGTAATCGCAGAGTCTGGGGAAGAGATAGGATGGTGCCGTAAGGGCCATGCACTGGAACGGGAGGACTGGAGAATGCTGGACACCCTCAGTGAGGGGGTTTGCCCACTACTCCAGATCCCTGTCGCAAACGCATGGAGCCGCGGGCATAGTCTGACGACGGACATGTCTAGTCTTATTAGCACAAGCCATGCGTTGGACCAGCGTATTATTGTATTGCAGAGGGCCATTAGTCAAGTCACTGAGGATGAATACGTGCGTGAGTGGCAAGAATGATCACCCAGGAGAGTATGAGTAGTCAAGACTCATCGGCGATGGCCGAATAATGAGAAGCATGATATCAGCATGAAGCAGATGTTCACCCCGTCTGAGGTAGGAGAAGATAAAGATGGAAGGGGAAGGCTGATATGGATAGAGTGCGACAGATAAGGACTGGAGGGCAGTTTGGCAGCAAGAGGAAGGACCGACTTCAAGCTGAGTTGTTTGACCACGATTTCCATCCTCATCTAGACCTGACGGTACCTGACCTGTATGTACGAACAAGCAACTAAGACCAATACATAACGGACTGTTATCATTATCAAATCACTCAGGGTTGGAGCCCAGATAGTGTCCCTTATTGCCTATCACCAGACGAGGTCTTATCAAGGGGTGGAACTCATTGCCACAGACCCCACTGTGTAGCAGAGTTTTGCGGGCCAATCCCGCCACGAGGGCTGTTGAATTCTGTAATCCATGTGGTGCTTATGTCCAACTTCCATCCAATGAAAGATTTTGTGGCTGAGCATTACACGGCATGATTGGGACAGGGCATAAGCTTGTGCGCACTAGGGCTCAACCAGGACCCAGTTGGTTCTGTGGGGCATTTTCCACCTCTTCTCGAAACCGGTGCAGTGCACCGTTTCCATACCATGGGCTCTCACTTGCAACACGCGACACTGATCCTGAATCCACGGGCCGGTTTCTTTTTTCTTTTTTTTTTTTCTTTTTTCCCTTAATCATCTTTTTCCCGTTTCTTCTTTGAGTTACGCGGTCGCGGCGGTTTTCCGACTCGGAAGCGATCATTACATCGATCTGGATCCGGTGGGCCTTCGCTCGTCTCGGACTGGTGTGGGTGTAACTGTGTGGTGGGTAAGAAATTATTCGCCATGCCTCTCAGAAAATCACTTATTAGACGCTTCGATCCCACCCCTCCTACAGAGAAAGAAAGAAAAAAGAAAGAAAGATGTGGTCGTCGTTTCGTCTTTCCTCGTCCCTCCCCCTCCCCCCTTGAGTTTATACTCAATACTCGAGCTTTTCAAGCTCTTGTATATACCAATCAACCTCAACCTCGAGTCTTTAGTACTCAACCCTTTCAATCTAACAATCTTACACGCCGTTGAGATATACGCGTTACATCATGTTCGGTGGTATCGATTCGGAACGGGACCTTGAAAAGGCTCCCCAGGTGGCCAAGGCGCCTATGGATGACAGCAGCGATGGCGCTGTCCCTGGGGAAAGCTTCATGTACGGCAACTCGGTCTACGCAAAGCTTCAGCGGCTGGCTGGAAAGTTCAACATTGAACAACGAGGTGTCGAGCGTGTCCCCGAGAACGAACGGACGGATACCTCGTACTTCAACATCAGCAGCATGGTGTGTACCTAGTCTACTGCATAATGCTTTTGTCTTGCTGGCTCTCCGCCGGTGCTCACAAGACCGCCTCCCAAACTGACCCCTCGCAGTGGTTGGCAGCCAACATGGTGGTTAGTTCGTTCGCTATCGGTATCTTGGGACCTGAGAGCTTCGGGCTTGGCTTCGTTGACTCCATCCTCGTCTGCCTTTTCTTCAACCTGATCGGTGTCTTGACTGTCTGCTGGTTCTCTTGCTTCGGTCCCGCTTTTGGTCTCCGTCAGATGGTTCTATCCAGATTCTGGTTTGGGTACTGGCCAACAAGATTCAGTAAGAATCCCTCGCCTCTAAGCTTCAGACACGGCGTGCTAATCCAATCGCCGCGCAGTCGCTCTTCTGAATGTCTTGTCCTGCCTGGGTTGGTCTGCGGCCAACTCTATTGTCGGCGCCCAGTTGCTCAATGCCGTCAACAGCGACGTTCCTGGTTTTGCAGGCATTTTGATCATCGCCGTCTGCACACTCTTCGTTACTTTCGCTGGATACAAGGTCGTTCACTTGTATGAGTTCTACAGCTGGATCCCAACCTTCATCGTCTTCATGATTGTCTTCGGCATGTTTGCTCACTCTGGGGATTTCTGGAACATTCCCATGGGGACCGGGGCCGCTGAGATCGGCTCTGTCCTGTCCTATGGTGCAACCGTCTATGGTTTTGCTACGGGATGGACCAGTTATGCCGCTGATTATACCGTTTATCAGCCCTCGGACCGCAGTCGCCGCAAGGTTTTCCTGGCTGCTTTTGGTGGCTTGATCCCTCCTCTCCTCTTTACTCAGTTCCTGGGCATCGCTGTCGCCACTGCGGCCATGGTTAACGATGGAAACAACAAGTACGCAACTGGTTATGCTCAATCTGGAAACGGAGGCATCATCTGGGCTATTGTGGAACCTCTCGGCGGATTCGGCAAGTTCTGTCTGGTTATCCTCGCCCTCTCCATTATCGCCAACAACTGCCCCAATATCTACTCCGTTTCTCTCACGCTTCAGGTCTTGAGTCACCAGACTCAGAGAGTTCCTCGTTTTATCTGGGTGTTCCTGGCCTCGTGCGTCTCTGTTGCCGTTGCTATCCCTGGATACTCGCACTTCGAGGAAGTTCTCGAGAACCTGATGGACTTCATCGCCTATTGGCTGGCTATCTATTCCGGTATCGCTATCGCTGACCACTTCACTGTTCGCCGTGGCTTTGGTGGATACCGTCCCGAGCACTACGACAAGCCCGAGAAGCTTCCTTACGGCTTCGCGGCTTGCATCTCTTTCGCCTTTGGCGTCGTCGGCATGGTCACCGGTATGAGTGAGACCTGGTTCGTTGGACCCATCGCCAAGCGCTCGCATGGTGGTGATATCGGTTTCGAATTGGCCATCTTGTTTTCGTTCGTCGTGCATGCTATCGTCAGACCTATCGAGCTGAAAAAGTTCGGTCGGTAAATGCGTGCAACTTTCTTACTGTCTTTTCATATACAACAATTTGGGAATGGGTTTTCTTGGGAATAGGCTATCGTCTCTTTTTTTTTCATGTCTGTTATGAGGAATCAGCTTGTCTATGGTGGTTCCCAAGTGGAACCAGACGGCTTCCGTCATGCTAGCTGGTGTTTTGTACATAGATATTATTGTTGATTCTAATAACTCCCGTGCAGATGAGCCGGGAAGTCGAATACGAATGAAGTCATCATGAAAGTTCCTGCTCCGAGACTGAATTTTTCTAAGGACGTTATCATTGTCTAGCAATGTCGTTTCTGCAGCACATGATTTGTAGACACACATTGTTGCTTTCTACCTCGAAATCCTAGGTATAGCAAACCCTCGCAACATCTAGATCCAGGGTGACTTGCACCAACTCCAACCCAGATCGAAGCCTGCGATTGGAACATCAACGACGACTACTCGACCTTGATGCCTCTTCCAGGCCATGCAGGATAACTTCACGTGGTAATCGATAATAGATCGTTCCTCCCGGTGCATCTGCCTCTACGGCGAGCCCTCAATCTGCAATTATGGCTGGGATAGAGCCAGCATGGCCCATCATTCAGGCAGTACCAGATGCGAAGAATTGTAACCCGGTGATGGAAGCATGTCCCAGAGCATCTGTAATGGCAATGCATCGGTGACCGATGGTTGCTTGATGAGGTAGCAGTGCGCATGTTCATATACCAGTCATATTTGAGGAGTCGAAGATTAGTACTCACTCTCCTGGTGAGTAAGTATGTTAATATCTCAGCTCTTTACTTACTGCTCACCATCTACTGTGGTCTCCTCAAGTTCATCGTCAGCTTTCGACACGTCTACAGCATTACTCTATCTATTATACCGTCGAGGCTGGCTGTAGTTGATTTGACTTAAGATACGTCTGTAGACGAGTGTGGCCAATTGTGACTGAATTATCTGTCTACAAGATAACTGATGTAATGAGCAGAGCAGTCAAGCGAGGGTTCACTGTCCTTAAGGCGTAAACATTGTGTTGATGAACCTCATCTAATGGTTCGTTCGCATGTCTTCCCTCGCCCAAGAGCGACGGCCCTCACGTGATAAGTGACCAAGCACCAGCCACGGCAGGCTGCGCCACTTGCAAATTGCCGCGCCGCGAACAAATCCACAACGGATTCATTCGCCTTTCATTGTGAAATCCAGAAAACTAGCAACCCAAGGCCCATACGCAACCCCCCTCTTTCCATCACACATACCACCCACAATGTCTAAGCTAGGAAAGTAAGCATCTCGAAAGCCCCCAGTTGTCATTTTCGCTTGACCCCCCAAAAGCAAAGAACCCTCTTTCCATCGAACCCCATTTCATCTGACAATATTTTTTTCCCTGTCTAGCCGCGCCGACTGGGCCGACGACGAGGAGTTTGACGACCCCTCCGCCCTCCCCGCACAGCAGATCACGACGAACAAAGATGGCACCAAGACCGTGGTCTCGTACCGCTTCAACGACGAGGGCAAGAAAGTGAAGGTCACCCGCCGCATCAAGACCACCGTGGTGCGGGAACACGTCAACCCCCAGGTCGCCGAGCGCCGCAGCTGGGCCAAGTTCGGCCTGGAGAAGGGCCACGCCCCGGGCCCCTCCTTCGACACCACCTCCGTGGGTGAGAACATCGCCTTCCGCCCCAGCATCAACTGGAAGATCCAGGCCCAGGAGGAGGAGAAGAACCCGGAGAAGGGCAGCATGAAGGACCAGCTCAAGGACAAGAAGGTCAAGTGCCGTATCTGCAGCGGCGAGCACTTCACCGCGCGCTGTCCCTTCAAGGACACCATGGCTCCCGTCGACGAGCCCGCCGGCGGTGCCGGTGGCGTCGAGGGCGGCGCCGACGAGGGGGCCGCCGCCGCCGGCGGCCTGGGCGCGACCTCCGGCAGCTACGTGCCTCCTCATCTACGGAAGGGTGCCGCCGGCGGCGGCGAGCGCATGGCTGGCAAGTTCGAGAAGGACGATCTGGCGACTTTGAGAGTTACGAACGTAAGTCATCTTCTTTGCTTTTGCTGCGTTACTACTTTTTTTCCCCCTTCCTCTCTTTTCTGCGGGGGTGGGTGGGGTGTGGGATGAGCAGGCGGTTCTGTGTGTCTGTGTTGGCGACGGTGACGACTACACGCATACGCATACACCCCACCTACTCACTCAAATCCCTTCAAGGGAATTCTCACCTCCCGCGGAAAAGAACCGGGGAAAACTGTTCGCACCCCATTGCAAACAAACTCAAAGACTAACAACTGCAACAGGTCAGCGAGTTGGCAGAGGAAGGCGAGTTGCGGGATCTGTTCGAACGCTTCGGTCGTGTCACCAGAGTCTTCCTGGCCAGAGACCGGGAGACCCAGAGAGCCAAGGGTTTCGCCTTCATCAGCTTCGCGGACCGCAGCGATGCTGCCCGTGCCTGCGAGAAAATGGATGGCTGTAAGCTTTC